GATTGGGGGGGCAAGGCGGGCGACGGAAGGCCGATGCCTCCGTTGCCCGGCCCTCTACAGAATCCACCCCCAAAACCTCCAGGTATTTCCCTCCTTAGAGCTGGCAACCCTACATTCCCCTCAGTGCCTGTTGGTAGGCAACTAAGCTTGGTCCTGTCACCTACTTTGGCCTTTGGGAGAAACCACATTGGGGCCAATCCTGATAGGGTTGCCAACTCCAGATGGGAAATTCCTGGAGACTTGAGGGATGGAGCCTGAAGAGGGTGAGGTTTGAGGAGGGGTGGGACCTCAGACAGGTACACTGCCATAGACTCCACCCTCCAAACCAGTCAGTCCCACATAGGGAACCATTGTTGCCAATCTCCAGGTGAGGGCTGGAGAGCACTCAGTATTACAACTGTTCTGCAGAAGGGAGGGCAGAAGTCAGCTGAAGTCAAAGGGGCAGATAATGGTAGGTTGATGGCTAGCTGGGAATGAGATGGGGTTGCCAACTACATCCTGACAAATTCCTGGGGATTTGAGGGGTGGAGCCTGGAGAGGGTGGGGTTTGCAGAGGGATGGGACCTCAGACAGGTAGAATGCCATAGACTCCACCCTCCAAACCAGCCATTTTGTCCTGGGTAACAATTGTTGCCAATCTCCAGGTGAGGGCTACAGATTACTCACAATTACAACTGCTCTTCAGGTAGCAGAGATCAGTTCCTCTGGAGAAAACAGTGGACTCTGTCATTATACCCTGCTAAGGTCACCACAGCAAATTGACACTGTTTGCCCAAAGCCAGAGCACTGCTCCAGAGCCTCTTTCTAGATCCCGTTGTATTGCTTTCACAACGGGCTTTACTGCTAATTGTAGCATAAACGACAATACAAAAAACAGTGATACAGATGAAGTCAGGGTTTTTTCCCTCAGAAACATGTTATCTTTGCCATTTGGAGAAGCGCCATGAGGTTTATACAGTTCAGTGGGGGGTTTTCCTTGTATCTGCCCTATCTGTTTTTTGGTCAAGCTTCAAGAACTGGAGATAAACCTGGAGCATTTCCGTACAATCACAGTCCCATAAACACATTTGAGCTGTTGCTTCACTTTCCCACATGACTTTTCAGTGACCACGGTACAATGTCTATTTTGCACATAACAGATAAATGGGAGGGAGGGAGAGATCTTGCTACAGAGGAATAACCTCACAACTGCTTAGTGTTTTTAGTTGTCTAGATATTCCTATTCAGGAGACGCATAGTGGGGAGACCAGACAACCCTTTGCTGAATTTTTAAGAATGAAAGGTTCCCAAAATGAAGACTACAAGGGAGGAGGGGATTTATGCCACAAGCAATATCCAATATGTGCCAGATGGCACTATGGGGAGGGGGGGGCATTACATTTCCCCCAGTACAAAATATCAAGTTCAGCCAATGGAATAGGCCTATAACAGATAAACTACCTTGTGGGGAGATGTACAGAGAACACACAGCAAGCTGGGGAAATGATTTCTTTCCATAAAACTTTTCCTTATTGTACAGTAAGGCATCGCACCTTGAAAAATCTGTATATTATTTTCACAATCCCCACTCTCCCTCGCCATGACAGAATTACACTTCCCTTAGCACCATGCGGTGGTAAATGAACTAGCATTGACTGGAAGTGGAGGTGGACTCAGGTAGCAAGAAATCCCTTTTCTGTCTTACAAGGAGCAATCCTAAGCAGGTCTGCTCAGAATGAAGTCCCGTTTTATTCAGCCAGGCTTACTCCCAGGAAATATTCATAGCCACCCGTCTCTGATTTCAGCATGTGAGAGGCAAGACAGTTGAACTTCTGATTGTGAATGCCTGGACGGTGGCCACAGGCTTTATAGTGCCGGGCTTCATATCATGTGAGGAGAGATAGTAGCTGGCTGGTAACCTTCTCTTGCATAATGCGACATGAATGCAGCAGTTGGCTCTGCTCCTTAGGGAATGGGAGGTGACTGAGGCTATGCCCTGAGCTGCCCCTGAAATCTTGTAACCATGGGAACAGTATGAGTGGCATGGGCTAATGAAGCTGTAAGTGTTGGGCTTTGAGGATAAAGGAAACCCTTATAAGTCCAGCGTCAGGAGGCCAGAGTATGGAGCATTGCTGCAGAGGTAAGACGGAGATATTTGAGCACTGGAGCAAGCGTCCCTGTCTCTCTCCTACCTTAGCCTGTGTGTTGGTGATCAGCTCTTAAACCTAGAAAGCTCCCTCTAAGCTGTGGAGTCCTGTGAGAAAAAAATCTATTTTGTGAACTACCAGCATTAAAGTTGTGAGCAGATGATTTGGCTACTGCATAAATCAGTTTGCTCTGGAGCCATCCTTCCTGAGCTAAGACAAAAATGTGTGAGCCAGAGGCTAAAAAACTGTGAGCTAGCTCACACTAACTCAGCTTAGAGGGAACACTGGTCACAATCCTAAGGACACTTTTGTGAGAGTAAGCCCCACTGGATAACATGGGACTTGCTTATGAATAGATCTGCTTATGCTTGCTCCCAAAATCTCTTGTATAGTCTTGGCACAATGCTGTGGCTTCAGTCTGATCAGTTTGATCAAGTCTCCAGGTGAAGAAATTTCAAGCTGATCTACAGAATGATGTGGAAGTCTGAGACAGTAAATCCGTAAATTATACCACTTCAGGCTGCAGGGGGGGTGTGTGTCTCCATTAGGGGAATTTCCCTGCCCACACTAGCCCAACAGATAGAAACGATTTGTATATCTGTCTCCTTCATGTGTTTACTACATGCACAAAGCTTGTTACATGAGGGAGCACTGAAAAATTAGCCCAAACCTGACAGCTAGTGTTGCCTTTCCTCTTGGCTTAACCCACCTTGTGTAGTAGTTGTTATAAAGATCAAATGGAAGAGGAGAAAGCCACCTGCATCACTCAGAGTTCCCTGGAGGAAGGCCAGGATAAAAATAAAAGAGATAGATAAACAGCCTGAAGAGATACAGTCCAGAATTCAGCTACCTTCATGCTGCATCATGTGCCAAGAGATACTTTCCCACAGTGGGGGGGGGGGTCATTCATTCATTCATCATGTGTCAAATGGTGTGTGGGTGGGCAGGTAATAGCAAAGATTAGATGGTAATTCATAGTAAGAGCAGGAGGGGTGCTGGTTAAATGTGATATCATGCTTATATGTCTGCTTTTCCAGCACATTTAGTATTAATGTATTCCGTGAAAACAGATGTGTTCCTTTGCTTTCCCTTGATATCACCTCTTTGCTCATTCATCTTTTGTTGTAGTCTTGTTCCATTCCCTTTCCCCCATTTGTCTTCCCCATGTCCTGGTCAATTTTTGAGCTGCTCTCTGCTTTCTTCTGTCCCCCTCACCTGCCCCAGCATTCTTCTTGCAGCGTGAGAATCTTTACCCACATACAGGCCTGTGTGGCCATACTGAGTATAAGGCAAAATTAAAACAAACAAACAAAGAAAGAAAAATTGACAAGGGCTAGTTTGGGGAATGAAAACATTTCCTTGCTATGCATTTACATCAGTAGTGTAACTGTGAATTAAAAAAAATACATTCCTTATATGTAATATATGGAGTCATACAATATAAACATGAAAGGATATGCTGTGTGGGTCATGAGGTGTGTAAAATACTTTGTGGATATAAGTTTAAGGGTCTTTCTGGAGAACTCTGAGAGCTGTAGTTCTGTAAGGTTAAGAGGCTAAGGATTTCTAACAGCATTCTCAGCATCTCACCGGACTACGGTTGACAGGGTTCTTTCTGGGAAGCCGTAAAAGTTAGATATAAAACCAATATATGTTTGTAATGGAGATCTGCCCTCTGTGCAGTATGAAGCTGCCAAATGGATCATCACCCTAAGAGCTTGTTTTCAGGTGATACTAGACATCATGATGTGACCCAGTGAGCACAATGGGACCAAGGTCAATTTTGTTTGCTTTTCCTCTGCTATCATTTGTTTTAGCTGTATGGGCATCTGTAGAGATGGGACCTGGGCAGTTTAGGGGGGGGGGCAGGACCTTTAGATTACCCCTCAAGATCCTTTCCCACTCTAATGTTCTCTGCCTGCAGATCATCTTTGAAGGTGTCTGTGGCTCAGGCTTCGAGGGAGATATTGCCATTGATGATGTAACCCTTAAAAGGGGGGATTGTCCAAGAAAGCCAATTGTCCCAAATAAAGGTGAGTGCTTGGTGTATTATATGCACGTATCACCCCTAATCTGAAGAAAAAGTGGGAAAAACTCTGCCTGCTGACAGGACTCGGAATGTATGTTTATAGAGTTCTGAATGTGGATCGTTACTGATTGTAAATCAAACTAGATGAGATAGCCCACTTTTTAATGTTCAGTGCAGTTGCAGAGTGGGATGTGAGTTCTGGGGAGGTGTTTCAACCTTTCTCACTGTGATATTTCCCTGATCTAAATCCCCCCCCCCAAAAAAAACTTCATTAAGTTTCTATTTGCCCAGAAAACACGTATGGAACAAACAGCAGCTATGTCTTCGAGGGAAATAACACAGGGGAAGAGATACTGCCTTCTCAACCCAATCCACACTACTGCTACAACATAGATCCTTTGTCCTGTAAGAAAAAAAGGGGGAGAACCAATCACAGATCCCCTCTAAGGCATATCTTAGATTACAGTATGTTGTCAGGATGATGGCAGAGCAAGGAATGGGGAACGGGTCATGCAATCCCCAGGTTATAACAGTTGCTCTAAACCTTTGCCATATTCATTAACTAAAGTAGGTTTTCTTTAGAATCTTCATCTGCTATGAGGTGGGAAGGTAGTAATTGCAGCAGTAGTTACAGGCACAACACAGAACATTTATTTCATTATTACAAACTTTTATTAATTAGTTTAATATACAGACAGAGGTCAAGATTTCTCTGTGGATAAATCTTTCCGCTTGTTTGTGTATTATATTTGTAATACATATCTGAAATCAGCCCTCTGTGGAAAATCACAAAACTGCCCAAACCAGAAAGAAAGCTAGTTTTTCATAAATATTTTACTAAGATACAGAATGCAACAGATATAGATCACTGCTTGATAATTATGTGTTAATGTATGCATTCTTAAATTCTGACCTTTGACTTTATGGTATATTTTTGGCATCCCAATGTGCCTAATAATTTACAATTTAAAAATTACAGTTAGAGAACAGTTTAAAATTATTTACACCAAGAAACACCTGATACATTAAAACTAGCAGGGTCCATTGTATTATTTATGCAACAACCATGGCCAAATCCTAGATTTATTTATTTATTTATATTTACATTTATATCCCGGCCTACCCCGAAGGCTCAGGGCGGCTAACAGGGGCCTTTTTAAATGATATGCCCAATGAGACTTCCTTCAAGGTGTAAATAAGGGCAGGGCCATGGTAGAAGGATGTCCCTCAGATGCCTGCTAAAGTGTCCTTGAAAGAATTGAAAAGTCTTACTGTATATTTGTACTCCATTCTTTCATTTTTGAGTGTGCAGTTTTGCCATGATCCGCCCTGTTTTTTAGATCATCCCTTCTTTTTGTGATAACTTAGACAGCAAAATACTCAAGTTTTCCATGTCTAATCCTTCTCTGTTGTTTTTTTTTTGCCCTACAGCAGTTGCCCTTCCGGGGAACGGCGCCCTCCCCCTACACAAATCTTCACTCTATGGGCTGCTACCTTCCTTCCTTTATGTGCTGCTCAGATGATAGCAAGCGATGGCTCCTGTCTTCTAACCGAGACATTCCTCCTCCTTTCCTATTTGGTCACCTCTGCTCCTCTTCCTCTCCCTCCTCACTGGCACACCAAAGTGTCCATACGTTACCAAAGACTAACAAGCATGACCACGCGAAGGGGATCCAGCTCAGAGCCTGAAGGATTCCTGGAGGAAGTCATAAAGTGTGAGAACAAACAAACAAACAAAAAAGAATAAAAACAAAAAAGTACAAGAGACAGAGAAAGTGGGAGGAAACAATGGAAAGAAGAGATATAAATGCTGGATTGAAAGGCAAAGATGAGAATGGAAAAAGATATTTAAAGGATGAATGAAATGAAAAAAGCCACGTTTCCTTAGGAACGGTGGATGGGACTTCCTCAGGGAAGTGGGAACTTTGTTTTAAACAAAAACAATATATTAAAGCACAAATTTCTACCAGAACTGTTACGTTCTTTACTGCGGAGCCACGGTTTAGGAGACCTTCTAGCACAGAGTCTTCCTTCTGGATGTCTGTGTTATTACTTTCCCTGACTGTCTCTGGTTACGACCTATCTGCTGCAGCACCACCTCACCCTTCCAAAATAACATCCCACTCGTCTCCATTGGGGGGGCCACCCCTTCCCCACGTGCTGGTGACCATAGAACCTTGCCCCCCACCGCTGCATGTGCTTCAGAGTATCCATATGCATTTTCAAGATTATCACCTATTTACTAGTCCATGTGCAATTTGCTTTGGCCCATCTGTCACACCTTTTTGCTACCAACTTCAGCTCAAGAAGTAAAGCAGAGGAACAGACACGTTGTGAAGACGGATGAAAAAATCTGGGGCAGATATTAGCTGCTGGATCAGCTGTTGACACACACACACACACACACACACCAGTATTTTTGTTTGTTTGTTTTTGCTTTCTCAAGCTTCACTCAGCTTTCTCCCTTTGCCCTTAGTTCTTTTCACCACCATGGAAGCAAGCCAGCCAGCACAGGGTCTGAAAAAGAACGCCTTTGGGTTGGGGACCAAGGTGGGATGAATGTTGACATCGAGTCGGTCAGTGTCAAAGCATGGGCTACAGAAGCCTTGGGGCAAAGATCTTCTCCTGGTGTTTGTTCTGTTTTCTCTCCCTTTCTATAACTCTACCCCGGTAGACAGGATGGGGGGTTTTTTAATCAGAGAAGGAATTGTATACTACCTTCTATGCCTTGCCCAACTCATCCCTCATGACATCTGAAATTGAAACTGTTGCTTGTGAACTGTGGCATTTACCTTGGCACATTATTAATAATCTGGTGTGGATGACATGGTGTTTGGTTTAGTACTGAAGTTGCACTATGATAAGGTAGGAGAAACAGGGAACCCTCCAGTGAGAATTGGGGAAAACAGACTCCATGATGTCGAAAACAAACATGTTCACAGGGAAAAGGAGTGCTGATAAAGTCATACCACCACTATGAGAAAATAATAGAGGTCTCATGAAAGTCAGCTTGTTGTTCTCACCTTGATCTGGGCCTTATTGAGCTTGGAGCACTAGGTTTACCTGTACATTAGGTTGGATAATGTCCTCTATTGTTCTAGCAGGTAACAACAAGGCAGAGTTTTAGATAATAAACCGCTGTGCATATATCCCCCAACGTGTGAAGCAGCGCATTTCAGTACAAGCGTGTGCATTATCCCAGTGCATCTGCTACTTTTAGCGTGTGTATTTCAGGAGCAACATGGTATTATTTTAGGCACAGAGACCCTAACGTATGTCCGCTCTGCCTTCGCAAAAATATCTTGATCTTTCTCAAAAATATGCCAAGAATGCATAAAATTGGGAGAGGGTTTTAAAAAAAAAACTAGGAAATGCTAAGAGACTTGACTTCCCAATGACTGAAAGATGAAAATGTGTGCTAAACTGTTAGACAAGCATCTGGATTTATCATTTTGTAAGGAGGCAACATTTTGTAGTGGTTGTAACATGATTCTTGTGATGATTCTAATTGTGGCAGATGTGCTGGTCCTACTGCTTACAATGGGCTCCTTGCAGCTGAAAATGTAATAACTGTTCTCACTCAAAGAGCCCCCATATGAGTAAGATTTACCTGGACAGCGGGAAATGCACTGCTGCAGAAGATTTGAAAAGTACATATGAGGTATATGGGCATAACAGAAGATGTATGTAGGAGTAAGGTGGTATTTGGGTGGGTTCCCTTGTGTAGTTGACTTCTGGCAGAGGAGAATGAATAGTTTTTGGAAGTCCAGACCATGAATCAGCATAGGGCCCACATATCATTTTATTGTGACCTACAGATGTATTTTCACCCCAGAAGACAGAGATGAGGTCTTTGTTCTCACAGGAGTAGAATAAAGAATTGCCCATTGCCTATCCTTTTATCAGTCTAGACGTAATGCTGACAAAGAATCCTAACCAGCCATATCTTACTAAAAAGAGGACATTGGATTGACAGGATGGAAGAAAGAAAAAGGATCTAGTTAGAAGCTTTAAATGTTCTATCCCTCCCAGCTATTGGTGATTTATTTTTCCCCTCTTAAAAAAAAAAAGTGGTATCTATGTGCAATCTCTTCCAATTCTAGGACCTTCTGAGGTCTTATTAGTAGGCAATAAGATGCCATCCTTGAGCCAACTTTCCCAGCTACAATCAAAGAGTAAAGGTGGATTCCTGTAACCTGGAGCCACACCATAGCCACTGGAAAGCTTGTGTGGTTATCATGGGTAGCCTCTGCTTACATTGTCCAGTCCAGTGTAACTACACACCCATTCCCATAGATTTCCACGCTTCTACATTCATCTGGCTTCATCATCTATCTATCTATCTATCTATCTATCTATCTATCTATCTATCTATCTATCTAAAAGGCTAGCCATGTTCCCGATGACTCACCTTCTACCTGATTGGGCCAGCCTTTCAAGGTCATTTGCATATGCAGGCTGATTGGGCCACACTCTATTCCACATGTCATCCTCTCCCCCCCCATAGCCAGTCAGAACACAGAAGTCATTTGCATATGAGGTCTAATTGGCCCTCACCTCCAACATTCTAAACAGTTTGCTGTTGAGTGTGTCATTGAATGTGTCCTGAAGTCAGGGCTATTTTGGGGCAGGAACGCACAGGAACGGAGTTCCGGCTGGCTTCAGAGTTGGCCATGCCCACTACAGTCAAAACCTCTGTGTGCGTGGCTACAGAGGGAAGGCCTGGAGAGCGACCCCCCCCCCAGCGAATCCAAGGCGGGTGGGCCAGGAAGGATTGTGGAGGTGTTTAAATGCCTCCCCGTGCCTCCCCTGGCCTGTTCAAGGACCAGCTTGCCCAGGCTCCCTGCAGCCAAGGGAAGGCATGGAGGTGTGACCTAATATGCTAATGAGTTTCTGCTGTTGGGTGTGGCCTATTATGCTAATGAGTTCCTGCTGGGCTTTTTCTACAAAAAAGCCCTGCCTGAAGTAAAATACATCTCCCAATCTTCCCCTAAACATTCACTGGAGTTGCCAGTCTCCCTGTGGGACCTGGAGATCTCTTGGAAATCATCTCCTGGAAATCATCAGCACATCGTTTCCCCTACAGAAAATTTCCTAGCTATTACAACTGATATCCAGATGACCAAGATCAGTTCTCCTGGAGACAATGGCTGCTTTGGGCAGTGGATGCTATAGCATCATATCCTTCTGAGGTCCCTCTCCACCCCAAACCCGGCCCTCCCCAGGCTCTACCACTCAAATCTACAGATATGTCCCAACCCAGAGTTGGCAACCCTGTAACTGGCTACAGAACCACTTTCCAGATTCTTGGAACCCAGAAAACATGTCATAGGAGGAGATGCTTTTCTACCTTAGCTGCCACTGCATAGCCCCAAATCAACATAAGTCAGAGGTGGAGGGAACCATTCCTGATACCATGTGGCTCTCCTCCCATACTACCCACTTGGGGTAGCAAAGTGACTTGAGACAGCCCTGCCTTATAGCTAAGCAAAAGGAAATAAACATTTCTCACCTCCCTCTATTTTCCCCTTCCTTCTGCTGCCCCACCAGCCACAGCTGGTACACTCACCTGGAGCCTTTTTCTAGTGTCTGTTGTATTTCTTCCCACAATGGGCCTTACTCTTAGTCTAGAACATTGCTCCCTCTATGCTGTGGAGTCTTGTGAGCAAAAATTCTACTTTGTGAGCTACTGGCATTAAAGTTGTGAGTGAGCCATTTGGCTACTGCATAAATTAGTTTGCTCTGGAGCCATTCTTCCTGAGCTAAGACAAAAATGTATGAGCCGGAGGCTAAAAAACTGTGAGCTAGCTCACACTAACTCAGCTTAGAGGGCACACTGGTCTAGAATATTAGCCCTCATCATTTTGAAAAGACTCCTTTGGAATTTTGATCTGAGAAATAGAGCTAGCCCGTGTAATGGGTTGTCCTTTTTTTATGTGAGCCTCAAGAACTGTATTGCAGTAACAAGAGGGTTTTCTGGGTTTAAACCCAGTCCAAAATAAGTGATTTGCCATTCAAAAAGGAGAGAAGTACTTTTGATCTCAGCACTAGTTCCTGTCCTGGGTCAGCTATACATTCTGATAATGGAGCGAGTCTAGATCCACTGGAGCCAGCACACTAAGGCTCCCATGTTTTCTTTTAGTCTTGATAAATCAGGGGCAGAGTAAATAGTAGGTCATGGTGATTTGGAGAGTTTCATTGCAAATGGACATTGTTCATGTTTGTAAGAGCAGGAGTGAAAGATTGGCAATGTGGAAACAGAAGAGAAGCCAAAGGTAGATAATGGGTAGACGCTTCAATCCTCTCTGCTGCTATTCTGCATCAGCCTCATGCTTTACAATTTGTTATCCATCTATGCGAGAACAGACAAGGGCCAATGAATTACCCATCTGTGTGTAGGGGTGACATTTGATTCTTTGTGTAGGTGGAGGAAATATTCACTTGTCATTGGTTCAGATATCTCCCAATCAATATCAGTCATCTAGTCATCACAGAAATCTCAGGGAGCTCCATTTACCTATCTTCCTCTTGGTTTCATTCTTCATTTTCGTCTTTATGGCTTAAAACCAGCAGATGCCCCTTTCCTTTGGGAGAGTTCCTACTGCAAGTGCCTTGGCTTGGCAAAATCATGATGAGTAAAACAAAAGATTTCATGTAATTGCCTGGATTGCTAAGAGGAGGCGTGAAATAAGATGGTAAACTACCAGGAATGCCTTGCTTATGGCAGGACTGGGCTGAAACGTGCATAAACCTTAAGCCTGGGATCAAAATAGTTCAGACTGGGAGCACATAAATCCTTGCAAGGTTGGGTTACATTAGTCCTTGAATGTTTAGACCTCCAGGTAAATGTCAGCTACTTTCAGAAAAGGGATATTAGCCACATAGGAATCAACAGCTACTTACAAGCTAATGGCTGTCAGGTGTTGTGCTGTTATTCCAAGTACGTATAAAGTAATTGTTCTGATCTATTGGAGTGGTACTTCTCATGAGTTCAAGAAGATTAGAATCCAGTTCCCTAGCTGCATGAGCTTTCAGAAATGAGACTCTGTTCTGCTGCCTTAAAGGAGTCCTGCCATCTCAACTGGATGTAAGAACTTCCTGCCACCCCAGAGGTGACTGCATTTCAGCTGTGTGAGGAAGTAGACTGTAAATAGCTGTATAATCCATCACAGAAGTTACCACAGATGTGTGAGATACTGTTATTTTCAGTTGGATGCTTGTTGAAAGAGATGCAGTGAAGCTATGTGTAATCTAATGAAATATTCAGGTCATGTATGTATATTGGATGGCTTCGTAAATATATACATACCTATATACATACGTATTCAGAAAAGTAATAAATTGTATTTTTAAAGGATTAAACAAATTCAAGGACAGGAGGTTTATCAAAGGCTACAACTATGATGGATAAATCCACCCTACATGTTCACAGTCAATATTTGTCTAATTTCCAAATGCTGGGGGAAAGTAGCAGGGGACGGTTATCACCATCTTGCTCAAATTGCAAGCATCCAAGGGGAAACTGGCTGATCAGTTCTGGAGACAGAACACTGGGCTAGATGGGCCCTTGGTGTGATGCAGAATAGGCCATTCTGCTCTTCATAGGCCCCTGCCACACGGCAGGGAAAACACAAGGCGAAGTGCGGCTAAAGAGAGCTGCATCAAAAAAGATACGCGCGGGCGGGATCCCACGGATCCCGTGCACCGCGCGCCGTTGCTCCCCAGCACGATCACATGCCGGGGAGGAAGAGTAGGAGGCAAGGGGGAGGCCGCTGAACTGCGCATGCTAAAGCATGCGCAGTTTGGCCGGAGGCCGGGATGTGCTGCCACAAGGACACGCAGCCGATCCCACAGCCGGTTTGAGCTGCTCTACTTCGCAAGAACCACCCAGGTAGGTGGTTCTTTTTAGTGCGGGTTTTCGCACGGAAGAGACAGATCGGGGATGGACAGGCAACGATTCCCAGATGTTGCCGTGGGATCGCGCCCGTTTGATCCGCCCCCATTCTGTCTCGCTCTCGGACCAAAACCCCTCGTATGAACGGGGCCTTAGATGGCTTCTCTAAGTTGACTTTTCTCTCAGTGTATTCATTGCATTCTGGGGGGAAATATCCTTATTACTTAAACTTTCCATGCTTCTGTAGTCCAAGTAGTCAAGTTAGTTAGGGCTTGG